TCTCAACTTTTCTCCAACGTTCAAAACTAATTGATTGCCAAATTTGGTTTTCAGTTCTGCGCAAGCGTCTGGCCCGATGAAGATGGTCTTATCTGTTTTAATCTTCTCAATGTCTGGTACACTGAGGTGGTCGAAGTGGGTGTGAGTACAAACAACGTGAGTAGCCTTGTGTGTTTCAAGATAACTCAAAGTTTCTGGAGCTACCTTGTCAAGTTGGAATGGGTCAATGTACACCTCGATTCCAGGGGCTTCAATAAGAATCCCCGAATGGCGGATGTGGCGAATTGTTACATCTCCAAGTGTGATTGGCATTGTGTTGGTGATTTTGTTTATCAAGTTTTGAGGTTTTTAAAGGGTGTTATTCTTTCTAGTTGTAATTTTCCAGTTTTTAGTAAAAACTCCAAATATAGAACACATAAAAGGGTTTTTTGTTTCATTTTTTAATTATAAAATGTAATAGGCAAAACTGTTTTAAGAATGTTTATACTTTTTGTTCGAAATAATCGTAAATATCGAACTCTTTTTATTTCTACATATTCTGGTCATTTCTGAATGGCGATAGTTTTCTAAAAACCATAGTCTGAGCAAAACATGAACAAAAAACAAGACCAGAACCACATGTTTATTTTTTATTAGATAAATTAACCACTATTGTTGAATTTAGCCTTTTCAAAAGTAACTTTATTGGATAAAAACTAAAAAATAGTCAAATAAAACAATTTATTAAGATAATTTGTAATAAGAGTAATTCCCAACTTTATGTTGAATGTAATATGAATAAATTTGCAATAAATTAGAACTGATTACAGTTGGTCCATTAAACCTTAGCCCAGGAAATTAACCTTAGCCCAAAGAAAAACTAATTTATTTCTATTGTTATATTAAAATAATAAACTATACCGATATATAAGTCAATTTTCGAAAATATTTGTTTTTTTAGTAAAAACCCGTGTTTTTAAAGAAAAATATAGGAATTTCTTTGGGCTAACGTACATTTCCCGGGCTAAGGTTCATTTTCCGTACTGTATTATCAAAAAGTAGTATAAATATTTTTATGAATTGTTATAAAGGATTGTTTATTCTAGTTAAGGATAGATGATTCTTTTTTTGTACCACCAAAATTCAAGTTTAATTAAAAACAAAATAAGATACTTATTTCAAGATTTACTATTGATAAGATTAATAATTTTTTGATTTTTGGAAAACAATAAAAAATTGATTATCCATAACCAGGTATAAAATAATTTTTTAATTGTTTTAACAAAACCTCGCTTTATTATCTGAATATTTAATATTTTATATTAAAGATAAACAACATAGATTTAAGCGAGTTACAATATCTATTTTACATTTATTCTTAAAGACAATTTAAAACATATTATAAACAAAAATAACAACACAACACACTTGTATTTAAAATATTTTTAAATTTACAATCAATGTTTTTTATTTGTATGTGTATTAGTTTAAATTTGAATTGCAGTATGTTCATTTATATATATAACATTCATTTTAAAGAATTATTATCATAAATGTGTTAATGTTTTTAAAATTGGTAATTTTTTATAATATCAATTCATCATTCATTAAATAAAAAATAATCAGATAACAATATGATTATTTTTTATTTTAACAATACAAAAAATGTAATTTATGTGTGTTGGAAATAAAAACTTGAAAGAACAAACACGATATTGTTATTCAAAATCAAAGATGAAAATATGATTAATTTAATCTCTATTAAATCGGTATTGTTAAAAGTGATTTATGTCATAACATTAACAACTGTTTTTTTATGTTGACAGAGTATTTAAGTGCTCGTTTGAATTAATGAAGATTTTTTTAATTGAATTATTTTATTGAATTTCTACACTTTAAACTATCTATTTAGTATCATTGAAATATATTCATATCATTAGTATTAATTCAAAACATTACTTTCAATACTAAGTAAGAAATGTTTTAACCAAAATACAATTCCTATAGATTGAAAACATACCAAAACAATTCCATGCCAAGTTCATATTTATTTATATCGAAATAATATTGTTTAAATCGTGTCTTCTTGTATTTATGCTTAAACTATTGTGATGAATCTTCCATATTAGTACACCTCTTTGTAGCTTTGAAGCTTACAATTGTTATTAAAAAACAATTAATTACAAGTACTGAAACATAAATTAATTTGTCATCCACAATACACATCACACCTCCGTATTTTGTTTCATCATAATTTGGTCATAAAGTTTGCCGAATTTTTTTATTTCTTCGACTTGGTGTGTTTCGCCGTCGGGGTAGTTAATAGTTTGAATTTTGACAAAAGGCGTTGTTTTCCTGTTAATCTTGTCCTTTAGTTTTTTAAACTGGAATGAGTACCCCAATGAGTTAAGAATTGATATTAACGCACCGTTCATTTCCGATTCTTTTGACCTCTGTAACCTTTTTTGTGATTCGTTCTTCTCTGCACACCTCGAGCAAAACCCGTTGTCAATAAGCCAAACCTCTCCTATTTTGCAGAGGTCCTCCAAATCGGCCTTAACCCCATTAAGTTCCATTGACTTTGGTACTCTGAACTTAATAGTCTTTTTGGATCGTTTTTCCTTGACGTAATAGAATACGGCGTTATGCCTTGCCACCAAAAGGTATTGGAGACCATCAATGATTTGACTCTCTTCGTTTCTCCCCATAATTTTACGTTCTCGTAGATAGTTCAGCCTTTTTAATGGTGTTTTATAGTGCTTTCCCTCGGGGATGATTTTGGACGTGGGAATAAAGTCGAAATCATCCATGGTCCGTGTCTCCATTTCTGGAAATTTTTTGGACGAGAAGAGGCAATTCTTAAATGTGTGGCCGTAAGTAGATACAGGGCCTGTACATGAAGAAGCCGTTTCATTGCTATCGAAGTCAGTGAAATCAACATTATTGAAACATTCCATTTGGGTTGTGTCCATCCTGTGGTTTCGAGATGTGGATATTATTTTAATAATTATTAAAAAAACAAAAGACCGATTTGTTCTATTCGGAATTTTTTGTATTAATCTTTTTATTATATTATATAGTTTAATATAGTTTAATATAGTTCTTGGATTTTTTATTTTTACCATCTATGATTTGAATTTTGGCTGTTCGAAGTTGGTTGAACACCCACTAATTTTGAGTCTTATGTTCTATTTTGTTATATTTTATTTACAACTAAAACGCATATTAATATCATATACTACAAAATTCAAATAAATTAATAATATGGAAAGTATAAGGCATTAGAACATTGTTCTTTTTTGGATTGCAACCGTTTACAATAGTTGTTTTATAATTTTTACTATTATTTTAAAAAAATTAAGAAAATGTGTTACGAAAATGAAAACTGGTTTAACTAATGAGACGAATATGCAGAAATGTCTTAACAAGGATAAATTCTTTTTATTGTAAACAAAAAAACCAGTTTGTATAAATTATAATTTAATAATAATAAATAATGGTAACCTATAAATGGATATGACAACTTACTTTCAAAAAATTAATCCAACCAACAAATAATTATTTTTACTATATACAATAACTTTTTAACTATTTGATGGATAAAAAAAAATTAAATTAAAAAATAATCTATTAAAAAATTACAAAATTTTTTTGATTAATCAGCGTGTTTTTGAATAATATTAACCATTGTTATGTTGATTTGTGATCTAAAGGGACCTACATTGACCACCACCACCTTTACCAAAAAAAAACATTTGCCGCGAGTGTTTTTTAAAGGAAGTCCACTTTTCAGCCACTGTTTGTGCGTCCCCATGTCACCCACTTTCCTTGTCCGTACTGTGTGGACGCGGATGTGGTTCCCCCCCGCTTGCGGGGGGGTCAGGGGGGGATCCGCGCCAAGGGAGGACTTGGAAAGTGGGTGAAACGGTGCACAAACAGACTGTTTGAGTGCGTCTTTATGAGCCTTCTTTTCAATGCTCCGTCTCACTCGGTTTCCACTGACTCGAGGTGAATTTTCGGCATTTTTTGAATTCGGGAACCAGACCTAATATTATCCCAGTTTCCTATTTACTATAATTTTAATTTGAATATGATTCGAAATAGAAAAAATAAATCTATTTTAAGAGGTGGTGGTGGTGGTCAATGTAGGTCCCGTGATCTAAACATTTATTAAACTTTAAGTTTTTTTTAAGTTCAATTTTAATAATTGAATAATTGAATGTCAGATCAATAATAATTAATAAAATATATTTTTATTATATTATTCAAAAAGAAATGTAATCTATTGGCATGAATTTTTGATGTGATTCAATTTGTATGATTGAAACTACTCTTTTTGTCATTTTTGGTGCTTAAATTATATTATTTTATTTTTCTCTCACATGCAATAAATAAGTTCCTCCAACGCGACAGAAGCTCACTTAACACAGTGACAAGAGACAACAAATTTTTTGCAATAATTAATAAGTACAAGGACCTCCTCAAAAACAGGGGATTTCAAAAAACTACGAAATCTACTTCACACAGACAAATATAGTGACAACCAAATCGCACAATTGACACGTGACAAGATCACATACTTCAGGTACCTGCGCAAAGTCCACCTTTTTTTGAAA